CCAATGAATGAACTACTACATCCAACAGGAAGAGGACGAGTAATTTAATCACACCCTCAGGCTTGCAAAACAACGGTGCAAAAGAACAGTGATAATGTGATTAAATCAAACTCAGCAAACCACCGCGTGACTGTATGGACCTCAGGAAATTCCCCCTCCCTTCCTTTCTCTATTAACAGAGGAAACACAGACAAGTTTAAAAAAGACAGCATTTAAAATCATTTGAAGTATCGGAGCAATATACTCCCAAATAATATGCTTTCTGTGTGGTGTTATTGAAACCCTGATATTTTAATCTTTGCCTTATAGCTTTTCCTTTTAGCAGATAAAGCATTTAATATGTGTGTAAGATATGGGAAGTTTAGTGTTGAATGAAATCTGGTGATAATTGCAAAGCATTGAAATGAGTGAAAAGCTGTTATTTTGAACAGTGTGTGTTGTACGACACTTTATAGAAGTATTAACAAACTCTTTGCAGAGATATTTCCCCACATGATAAATTGAAGCATCAGGTTAATGTATGCCCGCTCCGCCTTGCAACAGCGTCCGATTGGAAGATCGCGTCGGGGGGCGGACCAAAGTCAGCCTGCTTAAAAATGGACACAAAGCCCTCGTGGCTCGCTCGCTCGCTCTCTCTCTCTCTCTAGAACTGTGGCTTGTCACCTTGGTGACCTGATTAATTCCCTTATAAGAATGAATGAGTTAAATTCCTTACATATTTTATAATTCCAGTTATTATTTTTCTCCTCTACTGTCAGATCAGATCCCAATCAAAGTTAATTGGCATGTTGAATGGTTAAATTACACATGTGCCAATCATGTCGCTCTATAACTATGAGATCACAAATCAAGTGGTTTTTAATTAGAGGACATTTGACGATCCTTGGAAATATGCTAAACACAACCTCTCAATTACAGCGCCATTATAAAGCTCTGGTGCCTCGTTTCCCCTCTCCCCCTGAATTCCTACCCATACTTTCTTTTGTCATTAGCATAGACAAATTTACCCTTTTAATGAATGTTTTCTGGCAAACAGCTGAGTGCTCTGATACAGCACGCATGCAAAGCTCTTCTCTGTTCTCGAGTGTCTGGTAAAGTTCAATTGACCGTCTTTGTCGACACTCAGCGAGACTTCAATCACTACATGCCTTTGAGGATTTTTGTTTGTGGTTTGACTAATTAAGGCTTCGTAATCAGAGAGATTTGTGGTATGTTTTCTGGCATTTTCTATGAGAGGTTAGAGGTGCAGTACATCTATTTCCTTCATGGTGTTTATATAACAGTAGTCTGCCCGAATCCAATCTATATTTATGAAGCTGTTTACAACAGCTGACAGATGAGGAACAGAATGTGTGTGTGAACGAGGAAGAAAGTACATGTGTAATTCTGTTATGTTTTTTCCCCGTCTTTTGTTAGTTTTACATGCATTGCCAATGTGTGTGTTTTATTTTTGTTTTTCGCTTGCTTACTTTGCAGATACGGACAGTGGTATATTTTACATACACTACCTTTTCAAAAAATATTTTTTTGAAAAGTTTCTAATGCTCACTGAAGCTGCAATACAGTAAAAACAGTAATACTATGAAATATTATATACATAATATATATTCTGTTTGAATATATTTTAAAATGTAATTTATTCCTTTGATGGCAAAGCTGAATTTTCAACAGTCATTAATCCAGTCTTCAATATCACATGATCCTTCAGAAATCATTCTAATGTGCCGATTTGCTGCTCAAGAAACCTTTGTTATTATTATCAATGCTGAAAACAGTTGTGCGTAATGCATGTTTTTTTTCCAGGATTTTTTAATGAAACGTAAGTTCAAATGAACAGTATTTACTTCAAATATAAATCTTTTTTTTAACCACTTTTGATCAATTTAATAAGACCTTACTTTAAAAAAACCTTACTGACCCCAAAGTTTTGAACAGCAGTGTACCTACTTTCAAAGGGATGGTGCATCCAAAAATGAAAATTCTGTCATTTACTCACCTTCATGTCATTTCAAACTTGTACGACTTTCTTTCTTGTGCAGAACATAAAATAAACTTTGAAGACATGCTTTCCACTTTCTTTTCCATGTAATTACAGTGAACTGGGACTGAAGCATTCCAGATACATGTTGAAAACGATCTCTTTCGAGACCATTTTGAGTCAGGACCATTAGGACCATTTTGGTCAGTAACGCATGTGTGCTTTTCTAGGTTGGGATGGCTGGGGTTGCACGGACAACACAGAGGCGTACTCATACGGCTTCCAGCTGCTCTCAACTCTCCTTCTGTGCCTCAGCAACCTGATGTTCATCCCACCTGTGACCATCGCCATCCGCAGTCATTACCTGCTGGAGGCGTCTGTCTATATATTCACCATGTTCTTTTCCACTGTGAGTTTGAAGACCTATCAAAAACATATACCCAAAATGGGGCTAGCATAAATATTTCAGTTGCATGTTGACATTAACAGGTAATATTTCCTCTGTCTTCATGAATCACCTAAAATGAAATAAAGAAATGTACAGATTCAAAAATAATAAAAAGGAATAATCCCAACTCTAAATTCTGACTGAATGAGGTATGTTCAAAGCGATTGTAACTTGTACATTAAATTAACGGACCAGTCAGATTAAAGAACTGGAACTAACTGTTGTATTCTTTACATTTTATATTAGATTTGCATTCTGTTTTGTTCCTGTATCGAACAAATATGTCTAATTAATGCAATGGGTGCTTGAAGACAAACCATTCACGAGTCCTAATTCAGCATATCAATGGCAAGAACCAGTGACATGTCAGAGTGTCATATTTTATTCATGCTTCCTCTGACCTTTTGTTTTCTTCTTTCACCCCTGAACAGTTTTATCATGCCTGTGACCAGCCAGGCATTGTGGTCTTCTGCATCATGGAGTACGACGTGCTGCAGTTCTGTGACTTCCTCGGCTCGCTCATGTCTGTATGGGTCACTGTCATCGCCATGGCCAGACTCAAATCCATTATCAAACAGGTAAAAATCACTCAGATGCAAAACTCAAAACACATTCAATTTCCATAAACCTTGTGGTTTTTCACTCTGTGCTTCCAAAGTGTGGCTAATATTCAGTGAGCTCAAAACATGTGTGTTTGCATTGAATAAAGAAGAAAAAAAATCTAACCAAGTTGAAATTTACACTACCATTCAAACGTTTGGGGTCAGTATGGTTTTTAAAGCAATTAATTTAAATTAAAATAATCTTTTGTTCAGCAAGAATGCATTCAATTTATATATAAAAAGGGTGACAGTAAAGAATTAATGTCATAAATTATTTTAAATAAATACTGTTCTTTTGAACTTTCTATTCATTAAATAATCCTGAAAAAAATTTGTATCACAGTTTCAAGATTAAAAAAAAAAAATAAATATATATATATATATATATTAAGCAACATTGATAATAATAAAAAATATTTCTTGAGCACCAAATCAGCATATTAGAATAATTTCTGAGCAATCAGGTTACACTGAAGACTGAAGTAAAGGCTGCTGAAAATTCAGCTTTTCAATCACAAGAATAAATTACATTTTAAAGTATATTCAAATAGATTTTTTTTAAATTGCAATAATATTTCACAATATTACTGCTTTTACGGTATATTTAAATCTTAAAATGCAGCCTTGATGAGCATAAGAGATTCCTTTAAAAAGCATTAAAAATCTTACTGACCTCAAACATTTGAAAAGGAGTGTATATGACTAAAATTATCTTTTTAGGGCCACTGTATATAAGAACCACAATCTGATAGTTAAAATTACAAATGAAGGCCCTGGGGCCCAGAAATGCTGGATATTTCTTGTGTCATCAATTTCTATAAATTCATTTTGTGTGATTCATAGAGGCCAGTAGTTTTTCATGGACTATATTGCCAAGAAAAGAGCTTTCCAAGATGTGCAAGAGAGCAGAAATTTTGTCCACCTCAGTAAAGTGTAAATATACGAATGTCAGCAGGCTGTCATGTACTGTCATAATGATGGTGACATTTCGCTGTGGAGCTGAGGAAATTGGTGGACACTTTCAGGTGTGTGTATGTGCACACTCTCTGTAGTTCAGTCTTCAGCTGCTCAACTGCAGAGGGAAAGAGTAAGCTTTAAGGAAAGGAGCACAGGGAGAAAGACAGTAAGAATGTGATTAACTTCATGTTTGAGTCATTTAGAATCAGAGAGTGAGAGGACTACTGTTTGTGATGGAAGCGTCTAATGGAGAGAACAAGAACAAAAGCTCTCCTCTAGGGAGAATGCATCTATATGCGTTAGGTGATTGCGTGTGCATGCCTGTGAATGTGTTTTGCTGAGTGCTGCAGTTTGCAGACACTAATCAAATCACTCATGTCACAACAGTTCTGAACTTTAGGAAGGAAGGAAAGAGAGTGAGAGAAACATTTTTAGCACCACCTCTCTTTACTTACAGTCTGTCTGACAGAGGGTGGCCAATGCAAGATGGTCCTAATTGGACTGGGGATCACCTCTAGACATGATGGGTTTTCGATGTTTGGACTAATATTTTTCCTCTTTGCCGCTCTCCTACCAGGTGCTGTACTTGCTGGGGGCGATGACTCTGTCAATGGCCTTACAGCTGGATCGCCATGGCCTGTGGAACCTTCTGGGCCCCAGTCTTTTTGCTTTAGGCATCATGGCCATCGCCTGGGTAAGTATTTTTATGCACATGCATACACTCTAAAAAAATGCTGGGTTGTTTCAACCCAATGTTGGGTCAAATATGGACTAACCCCACTGTTGGGTTAAATTTTGGTTAAATTTTTAAATTAACTTTTTAACCCAACAGTTGGGTTAGTCCATATTTGACCCAACATTGGGTTGAAACAACCCAGCATTTTTTAGAGTGTAGATTCCATGTGTTTAAGACTGTAATGCATCCTTATTAGATGTTTAATATATCAATAGAATATGCCAGAATGGATTTCAGTTATACTAGACATGGCTCAGAGCATAAAAATGAACAGATGTTGGAGTTGTGGTGATTGTTACCTACACCTACTGAAACTACTGGCGTAAACCAGCAAATGCTGGTGTGCTAGTCTTTAATAGTATGGTTTATGTTGGTCTTAGCTGGTCTAGTCGGTCTTCCAGCTTGGCCAAGCAGGTTTTAAGCTGCCAGTTAATCTTCTAGCTGGTTTATCAATGCCTTAGCTGGTTTAGGTTTCTCTTCAGCTGGTCTATCTGATTCTCCAGCCTAGCCAAGCAGGCTTTTAGATAATTTAACTGGACAGCTAGTTGGTCTTCCAGCTGGTTTAGGCATGTCTTAACTGATTTAAGTTTATCTTCAGCTGGCTTAGCTGACTCTCCAGCCTGGCCAAGCAGTTATTTAGCTGGTTGAGCTAGACAGCCAGGTGTTCTCCCAGCTGGTTTAAGCTTGTCTTGAGCTGGTCCAGTTTGGTCTCAAAGCTTTGCCAAAAGATATTTAACTAGATTAGCTGGACAGTCAGTTGGTCTCTCAGCCTGACTAGGCCCAAAATCCTTTTAAAAACCACCCAACAGACCAGCAAACCAACTTTTTTTTTTTCAATGGGAAAAACAAACATTTTCAGCTTTGCATGTGGATAAAATAAATTTTATGATTGTTTGTAAATGTAATAAAAACATCATATTATAAGGCAATGTGCCTGTGTGTCCAAAAATAACCTTGTTCTTTCAGTCTGATGGATCCGGCAGTTAAATGCCAGCACTATTTTTTCTTTGACTGTTGAGTGACAACAAAGCACCTTTTCAATATCTATAATTTATGAAGGCATTTCGCGTTACCTGGTCCAGCATGTGTCCCCACATTCAAGGCTGCATTTATCTGCGCATTAGCATGGTGTGGCATTAAACGTTTCTCTGTTCTGTCAGTATTACCAGGCAGCTTGTACTTTATGCTAATTCCTCATGCGACCACACTGCTTTCCTGAAGTGAGATGATAAAAAAATAATGGGTGTTGGACAAGGAAGAGTCTTTGCCAGAGCCTCTGGCAAATTATAGTTGAGTAAGAGAAGCACGTCCTCCCTTGAGTCGAATGTGCTGGTGGATATATATGCAGAGAGAAGAGGAGCCAGCAAACTACTACTGCAGCTACAAAGATATACCATATTGTGTGAGAGAGAAATAATGACAGAGGATAGCAGATGTTCAACAAGCAGAGATCTTTTCTTCATTCCTTGACCTAAACTCACATCTGAAGGCACTAACAATGCTTCTAACAGAACAGAATGAGGAAAATCACTTCTGAACTGAATTAAAGACACGTTTTGTTATTTTGGTTGGGAGGTGTTACATATTTGCTACACTCAAACGTGTTTTTGACGCAAGTTAACACATTTATGACAACTGGTGAAGCAAAAGAATAGTGTTAAAATGTTAGTTAATCTTATTAACTAAATAACTATTATTAACATAGTACTACAAACACTTTTAATATAAGCACTACAGACTAAATACCTGAATAGGCTGAAATGTTCTTGCATTTCTGAATGTCATATTGAAAGACAATTCATTGAATGTGACACTGACTGTCAAATGCACACGTCTATCATCTCCATGGCACATAATGGCTTTGTAGTTAAAGCATGTCAGTTGACACCTCCATTTCAAAGCTCCCCGAGCCGACGCAAACACAGTACAAAGCGTCCCACTGTGTGATTCTCACATCCTTTTTAGCACTGAGGAAAAAGCTACAATTTATCAAGCTTGTGACATGCTACATCCACACAGTTAGTTTACACTGCAGTTTATCATTATCTTCTGTGATCCTCTCATTGTGTTTTTGGGCTCTGCATTCTGAATGTACACATAAGTGCTTAAATTAGAGTTTTTTCCCTAGTAATTTTCTCCATAGGAATTTTGAATTGAAGAGGTTTACAACTGACCTAAACTAACCAACAACATTATATCATACTAATTGTTAAAAAAAAAAAAAAAATGAATCAATGTTCATCTGTTATTATTTTTTTATATATTATTTTAATTTAATTAATTTATTTAACATAAAAATACAAATAAAAAAGATAAAAATCTCTGAGAAAAAAAATCTGAATTCATTGTAGGTCCATCTTCTTGAATGGTTTGTTATTGTTAAAAATAAATTTCTTTGGAAAATGAATGGGATTTTTACTTCCAGAACTCTCCTGTTGCTCTCTAAATTCATAGACGGAGAGAAAGAGAAACATATTGTCTGGATGGGTCTTCTCTCTCACCCTTATGGTGAGGTTTGAGTTTCATTTGTTATATCCAATAACAGACACAGTTTGAATTCTAACACTTAAAATCAAATTACACCTGCTAGAGGAATACACATTTTATTTTTACAGTAGAATAATGCTTGAGATAGTGCCTACAAAGTAATAAAGGCACATGATATGGCATTGTGAGGGGAAGGATGAGAAACCTTTGGAATTCTCTCCATTTCTGTATGAACAGTTCTAAAATGTGATCTATGTCAGAACGTTTTCTGTAAATCTTCGTGTTGTGATCATACCACTCATAGCAGTTAGGTATTTTAACTGGTGTTTTAGTTGTTAATTGTTTAATTTTAATTGATTTGGCACAGCAGTGTATTGGAGGTCAGCATTCTGACTAAAGCCATAATAAGAATGTATTTGATGTGGATATACAGCTACTTTTTAACCATTGTCATCTTGCGTGATCCTTCTGAGTTTCAGATTCAGGGTCAAACACAAAACAACTTCTGGTGTGGAATTTTCTGATACAACTTTAGTGCAGCCAGGCCCTGGCCTGATGCAGCAAAGCTGACAAATTTCATTACACTTCCCCATGCTTGACATATGAGATAAGGCTTTTTTTCTCCTCAAATATAAAATATGTCATTGTTTCAGTGATGCTTTGGAACCTGGAGGAGGTCTTTGCAAACTTTCTGTGGTCATCAGCAGTAATGTTTCAAAAGAGTTATTTCTTCTCTGTGGTGACCTCCCATGGCTCTGTTTCATACACACTGATCCATGATTCATGCAGTTTATTGTTATGAGCTTCAACAACTTAACACTTTATAAATTCTCTGACACATGTTATGAAATAGTACCTACTATATATACTGTAACCCGATGACATATATTACATATTGAATATCTGGGAAGTGTTTTGACAGATTTTAAACAGAAATTATATGATGTAAAATTAATATGAAATATTTATGATTTGCCCCACTAATTGAAGGAATCTGTCTGGGAGGCCCGTAATACTGCATGAAGTATCAAATTACACACATTTTTATTTATTTTTTTTATTCTGGATGCAGAAAGAAGATTACATACTTCTTGTGAACATATAAAAGCTGATAGAGAAAAATATCATTTTCATCTATTTCATCCTTTTAAAAATCTACAGAATCAAGTACGGATAAAACTTCTAGTTTGTAGAATTTTTTTATATATTATTGTAGTATTTATTAATATTTTGAATTAGAATTTATATTTAATTTTATTGATTTTTGTTTTATTTTTGACATTTTGTATTTAGTTTTTTTTATATTTCCATTTAGGTTAAATGTATTTTTATTTCAGTTTTAGTTGTAAAAACTTTAGCACTTCAACTTAGATAATTTCAGTTAGTTGCCAAGGCAACATTTCAATTTTTTTTAAGTTTATGTTCCCATCTAATATTCATATTCATTTTATTCCGGCTTTATTTCAATAAAGAAAATGATCTTTAACAGTTTTAGTTTTATTTAACAATAACAACTGTGATGATTTATAGGTTGCTTGGATAAATTGTGTTTTCTCAGAATACATATATTTTTGAATGGCTTAAATGGAGATAGCTACTCTTTTTGGCCAGATGGCATAATTACGGCATCTACCAATAGGGGCTACTGTAACTGAACAATGCTAACTAGAATCTAGTTAATAAGCTTCTATTCTCTGATGTGCATATATTGACTGAGCTTCATGCATGATGCAGCATCACACAGACAAAATGATAAATAACTGCTGAAAACATAAACAATTATGCTAAGTAGCCTGTGGGCTAGTAATACATTTTGCTTTCATAAATGGTGGCATCTCAGTGCTCCAAAAGCATGCTAACCAGATTTGAAGTGTGAAGCACCATGTTTCAGCTTGTGTCCAGGCATCATTGATTCATGCGTCATCCAATCAATGTCCTGCTTGACTGATGAATTCTTTGGAATGTATTAGTGCGTAGCCCTCAGAGGTGGTTAAATAAGTGTGATTCATCTCAGGAGCAGCCTGTGCTGTATGAGGATGTGGTCAGGACCGTGGGGGTTGGATTCCAACCCTACTGTCAAAACAGTAGCCTTATAATGTGAAATATAAATGAGAATCAATTTCAATGAGTCAAAAGGAACATACGGGAGTCAAGTACATTTTGAGAATAATCCTCATCAATAAACAGTATGCGGCATGATGTACACCAATATGAAGCCTTGTTTTGTTGTTGTGTGGGAAGTTTAGGTTGGGTTGGTTCAGACTAGGCCCATCAGTTAAGTGTCACATTTAGAGCTCATCCATTTACCATTCTGTCCTTTTGCAACATGCACCTGTTATGTGCCTGGAGATTGATGCGTGGGAAGATATTGACACAAGGGAAGGATGTTTCTTTTTCATAATGGTTTAAGCTGTAGAACCCATTATAAACTCATAATGATACTGATATTTGCATACACTGTAAAAAAACAAATATTTTGTCATCTAACCTAAACATGTCTAAATGAACTGTTTTTATTAATGATTTTTGTTATTATTATGAATTATTGTATTTATTTTTATTAGGTAAAAATGTTGTTTAATATGATTGAATGCATGTGATTGCACTTACACTATTTTTAAGAGTCAGTCCAGATAGAAATAGCAGAAAAAGAAAGAAATGTTTCTACTTGAGCTGACCCTTAATGTAATATTAATAATATTTATTTTATTTTATTTATTTTTTTATATACTGTACATTTAAAGTAAAATGTGCCATAAGGGACCTTTTCTACCTGAGCTGACCCTTAATAACTTTCTTTGGTGTATGTGGTGTGTGTGTGTGTGTGTGTGTGTGTAAGGGGCTGTTTCTACCTGAGATGACCATTAATGCCATAATAATAATAATAATTAAAAAATACATTTGTTTGTGTACTGCATTAAATAATTTTTTTTTTCATTTAGCGTAAAACACATAAGTTGTAGCACTGTAAAAAAGAACAAAAGAACAAAAAATCTGGGGAATGTTTCTGCCTCTTCAGTATCTTCAAAGACAAAGCTTTAATAAAATTAATGTGTGTTGGCATAAACACGGTTGAATCACATTTGGATTGTCATCAGAAAAATCCATCAAATGCATTTTTGACAGAGAAATGCATGTAAAATAACCGTCGAGGCCGCTTGAGTAGTAAATTCAATAAACTTGCACAATCGGCATAAGAAAGGATTCAGTGAGTGCTCTTTCCATTGTATGGAAATGACAAAATATGCATAATGGCTTTGAAGGCTTTCCGGGACATTTTCAGATAAGGATCTTCTGAAGTATGTGACTGTAATGTGACAGAGGACAAGAAATGGAATTCCTCAGCAGTTATAAAGTTTCACAAACTTTAGTAACTTGGGTTTTGAAATTGCACAGAAAGCCGGTAAAAGCTGGAGTCGAATCAGTAATCCGAGAGAATATGAGATTTGCAATGTCTCGGAGGCCCCAGACCTTCCTATATGCAGCAGAAATGTGATTGAGTCATCAGCAGTCACCTGAGTCCGTGTGTGTTTGATTGACTGCTGCATATGCTTGACAGCAGTAACAATGTAGAATCGTGAGATTTAAAGTGTCTCGGCCATTTCAGCCCCTTGCTTTCAATCCTGTGGCTTGCTATACTGTCATAGGATATTAAACATCAGCTTTGAGTGTGTGCTAGAGCTCCTATTGTATATTCCCTCAGCTGCACAGGACAGTTTTTCACAGTTACAATTCATGCCGTGGCTATAAAATTGTAACCTGGGGCAAAGTTCTAGTCTACATGTTGTCAACCAGTGGAACATTATAATTGAAATGTCATGACAGACAGGGAGAAAAGCTCAGCATTTCATTCTCTCTACACTGTCAGGACAGGTGGAAGGTTAATACACTGTAAAATCTAATTAGTTGGGCTTACTTAAAAAAAGCATGCAAACTGATTGCCTTGAAAAAACTAAGTAAAGTGAAATAGGAATAGTATGTTGTACTGACAAATGCTTAGTTAGTATAGTTTACTTACACGAGAGTTCTAGTAACTAAAAAAGTACTGTAGGGGGTACTTGATCCTTTCATTTAGGTTTACTCATGACTTAGTATAGCTACTCACTGACTCTCAGAGTGCATTGCGGCATGAATAAATTATACAGTTGCTTTGTTTTACAGTCGTTGATTTCATTTGCCAATTTAATTTGCTGTCTTGTGTCAGTAGTAGCACAACAAAAAGAGCAAATAAAATGGTTATTGTTACAATTAATGAAAATAAATGAAATTTAATTGCTACCATTGTTGTGGTTCACGTGCTGAATGTTTAAGTCTGTGTGTGACTTTAGCATATTACCACACACTATTTAAGGATTATGTAAACCCAATTAAAATCATGTCAAGGTATTTATGAAAACTGAAAAATCTTCATTAATAAACTCAGACACAAAACAAAGCACTAAAGCTTTAATAAGATAGGTCACTTTTTAAAAGCAATCTATTTATTACTTTTCTTCTCTTGAAATCAAGTAACTCTGATTTCATGATGCATTGCTGCATTAACGAGAAGAAGATTATAATAGCATAAACGAAGTTCAAAGTGCCCAACCAAAGGGAACGCTAATCACTATAATGGTAAAAAAAAAAAAACCACATTTTAGGAAAATCAACATCAATTGAATATGAAGTCAGCTTATGTGATGTTCTCTGAAATATTTCAGTTGTATTGACAATTCAAGATGACTGGGAAATGAGTGAATGCAACTAGTCAAAGATAACTGCAGACATGAGAAAATGGGTGAAAAGTTTATTAAGACTATTTTTCTTTTCTTCTTCTTCTGTTGTTATGTTGCACATTAGCAACATATTAGTGCACTACTCCCTCTCAGTAAACTATTGGATTTTACAGTGTAATGACTCGGAGAACATCTATAGGTGGAAGAGCAAGTCTGATGGACACTAGATGCAGACTAGATGCTGCTGCTTGGTGACAACTGCGCAAAAGAGTCTCTCCAGTTCTAACCGCAGAGTTTGCATCTGTTAATCTGTACTGTTACGCATCTGTTAAACAGTGTTTCTCTACACTCGGCTGATTGATTAATACCGTGGAATGGCATTAGTAGGAGTGGTGTGAGGTGTGGGAGGACAGTGTGCTTTACAGTCTTCATAAATATCAGGATCCCTACAAGCTGGAGAATTGAATTTCTAAGAAGTCTGTAAATTGTATGTCCAACTTTATAACTGTGTGCGTTCGGATCCAGCTCTAATAGCAGCAGCTCGTGTATATCAGAGCATCTTTATGGGTCTGCAGAAGCATCATGAGCATTCAATCTAATGGGGCCAGCTCAGATATCTGAGCCAGCTGGATTTTGAATACAACTTCCACAACAAAAACGTGTCTTATATTATAATTAGTATCTTATTATTGTAAGTAAAAAAAGAGTCTTTTAAATACTGAGAGAACATAGTCATATTTGGGTCAGTCAGTCTTATTTTGGTCAGTCGTACCTTGAGTTGTTTTTTTTCCCCCCATAAAGTGAAAATCCATACTGGCTGTTAAGTTTGACTACAAATGTGTTTGGTTTATTAAATACAAATTAAATATTAGGTCAAGATTGATTGTGAATACTAACAGCAATGTGAAACTAAACATTTATTGACAAAAAGTCCAAATTATGATTGCCGGAATTATGAGAAAATGTCATAAATATGACAGAAATTAAAAATTGTGACATAAAAAGTTGAAATTATGACAGTCGAAACAGATAAAAAATCATAATTGAGGGAAAAGTCGAAATTATGAAACAAAAAGTCACAATTATGAAATCAAAAGTCCTAATTATGACAAAAGACACAATTATGACAAGTTGAAATTGAGATGTCAGTTATGACAAGTAAAAAAAATAAAACTTTCTTTTTAGCTCATAATTTTAACTTTTTTTCCTCATAATTATGACTTCGTATCTCAATTAGACTTGTTTGTCATAATTAGGACTTTTTATGTCACAGTTAAGTTTTACCAAAGCACTCGCAGAAATGGGCTCCCAGAAGTGTTTTCAGTAACTGACTGAACTGAAGTATAATCTCAGTTTTAATCCTTTTATATTATATAAGGTTTTTTATATTAGTTTTAAATAAAAACAGTGATACTTTAATCATTTGCCGCAACTAGTTTTCTGTACTTAAATGGTGAAGTTCAGTCTTTGAGATGACCACAATTGATGAACTTGATGATACAAGTGCCACTGGTGCCTGAAGACCCGGTTGGTCCGTGTGTCTTATTAATTAATGCATCTTTCTCATGCGTTTGATTTATTCATGACTGACTTTGTCTCCTGCTCTATGTTCTTCAGACTGTGCGCACCATCCGCCGGCGCCGCTGTTACCCGCCGACCTGGAAGCGCTGGGTCTTTTTCCTGTTCCCTGGCACCACCATTGCCACATCAGCGGTGGCCTTATACGCCTTTGTGGAGACGGAGGAGAACTACTTCTACATCCACAGCATCTGGCACATGCTCATCGCCGGGAGCGTCGGCTTCCTTCTGCCGCCTCGTGCCAAACCACATCAGCAGTGGCCTTATACGCCTTTGTGGAGACGGAGGAGAACTACTTCTACATCCACAGCATCTGGCACATGCTCATCGCCGGGAGCGTCGGCTTCCTTCTGCCGCCTCGTGCCAAACCTGACGTTAAAGTCACTCCCTTGAAGCGGCGGCGAGGCTGTGGCTACCAGCTCTGTGTGAACGAGCATGAGGAGATGGGACTGGTGGACCCAGCGATCATTACCATCAACAGCATATGCACCAGCTGATGATGTTTAGCACCATGGACTTTTATTTGCCTTTCTTCTTCTTCCTTTGGAATATAAAAACATGGAAAACAAAGCCAGAGAACTTACTGATGCACTGTAAATAACTTTTGACCGAAACACACACGCATATACGTCAGCATTTTTTGTCATTGTTATTTGAATTACTATTATCGTTAATAATATCGTTTGCATTGTTAGTATCTGGGAATGGTTTGTGTCAGTACACCGATGCACTGTTGTTAGTGCATTATTTAAACCATCTGAGCTGATTTTTCTGCTGCTACTTGACAGTGACTGCAAAATTAAAAAAATGTGTCATGTAATTTATTAATTGTTTTCTGGCACTCAAATGACCAAATGTTTTATTGTGTTTAGAGGATGCAAAGGAAGAATAATATCTGGATGTATCAAGGGCACTGCTCTTTTTTTTTAGTTTTCCTTCTAAACATCTTTTGCACTGAGACACAAAAATGTGATACTGTACATTTTTTAAATATAAGTATAGTTATGATCCAGTCACAATGTGTACATGTATAGTATAGTTGTTTTCAGTGGAATGTCTGATTGTACATTGGATTGCATTGTATTGCCTTTGCAGCATAACTGATTGTCGATTTATAGATGGTTTAGGAAAGTGCCCATTGCCAAGACCAGGTTTTAATATGAAACCTCAGATAAATAACCTCATATTTCCTGTTGTATTTACCTAGCGAGGACCAGAGGGAGACATTTTAAAGCAAAAGCTAATGATAAAGAAAATAAACGTTTTATTTTTTTGGTATCAAATCGGATTCTTTATTTGGTGCTGTGTAAAAGTAATGTGTTATTTCTTGAAATTGGCACAGAGTGCGGTCTTCCTCCGATATGTTGAAGAAACCGCAAGTAGGGCCCTCTGGGATTCAAAACCCCATTTTTAAATAAATAATTTCCTCCTAAATTCATATCATGACATCATCCTCTGTATGTCAGTTGTTATGAGGATGCTTATAAGAATATTTACCTTTGACCTGTAGGATGTTCCCATCTGCATTAATGTAATGACTACACTAGCTCTGTGCCCTGCATATGTGCTTTCATATCACTCATCAGTCTTAAACAACATTGAGCTTAAAGACTGTTTTTCTGTCTTGACATCAGACAATGATTCAATATCTGTCTATCATATCCGCCTTTGACTAGGGATGAATCATGTGTCATGCTACTTGTTAATGAATACTTATCATCGTACTCCAAAGTAAACATTTGTGCAATTTGCTGAACAAAGTAACCCCTTTTAATTGAAAGTACATCCAGTGATTCTGCCTGAAATTAAATCATTGCTATCATTGTCCTAATACGGGCAAAGTTACTGAAAAGAAAATATTATTTATGGCCGTCATGACTTTTAATCGCTCAGAAACAAACAACAGGGTTTGGGGTTGATATGATTTTTTTTATGTTTTCAAAGAAGTCTTTCATGCTCACCAAGGCTGCATTTATTTGAAATAAAATTATTAATTGCTTTCCAAAAGAAAAAACAACAAATAAATAAAATAATCTATTTTATTAAACCCTAGTGTACTTACTGTGTATATATATACATACAGTAAGTACACTAGGGTTTAATAAAATAGATTATTGCAAAAACAATTGTAAATACACTACTCTTCAAAGGTTTGGGGTCTTTTTATTTATTATTATTTCTTTTTTCTTTTGGAAAGCAATTAATAATTTTATTTCATTATTATTTATTTTTATATGCTGTATATATATGTATATATAAATTGAATGTAGTGAACTGTGTCCTCCCACATCCACAAACAAATCAAGTCCTCTCTAAACTTGATCTTTCTTGTGTGTGATTTAGTGGTTTGGGTTGATATGCAGCTTTTTGCCAGTGGGCACTATGCTCATTTCTCCTCACACAACACATTTGCTAAGGCTCTGTCATGGGTTGGAGCAATCTTTTGCAATTTTTCTAGTCAAAATGGGAATGGATGAGAGATGTCACGCTGAGATGGGGAATGCGGTGAGATTGGATGTGGTTTCGAGATGGCGAGCAGGTAAAGAGTTAGGCCTCTGAGCTAATGAAAACCATTTATTTCACTCATTTAAAATCATTTTCGATTCACAAAAATGGCCTTTAACTGTGCCACAATTTTCAGTGAAATTAGAACATGGTATTAAAATCATGATCTAATCCATGTGCTTTCAGTAAATGTCTGAGTATCTGTATTGCAAAGGAAGTGGCTCAGCAGGAGTCTGGACTGACAGCAGCCTGGACGCAGCATTTCAAATGGGAGGAGCAGCGTAACGTGTTTTAATTAAGATAAGCATATAAATTTGTTTGCAGCCACTGAGGGCAGAATGACAGCATTGAATTAGTCCAATGAATGAGCAACACTTAAGCCTGACACCCACTCAGACACATGAAGTATAGCTGTTGAACAGGATACACGACTAACATTCTGGAAAAACTGGAAAGCAGTTTAATGCAATCAATTCAAGACATACAGTAGGAATAAAATCTTTTTAAACGTTTCACCAGTGAAACATAAAATGTTCATTGTGTTTCTATTCATATTTTACATTTTATTGTGATTCAAGTCTTGCATTTTTGGCATCAGTGCATTTTATAGTAGGTTTCCCTATTTTGTGCGTTCCACACCTTGTGTGCTGTTATTTCAGTAGTAATGATAAAGAAAGTAGTGGTTTTAGCAGACATTAAAGTCTATAATTCCCCTTCTGTCATCAAACGGAATTTCAAAAATGATGATGAAACAAAAAAATGATTCTAACAGGTTTCCTGACACTCCCCTTACTGGTTGAATAAACTGATGATCCGGCCCAAATCTAATCACACTGGTTGAGTCAGTGTTGCTGTTGGGCTGGTTGAGATGTGCAAACAAATAGTTGTAAAAGCAGCATAGCTTCAAACTTTTTTTTTGGCCAGAATTAACTTATGAATGTCTTACAGTTGACACATAATGTGCTGGGCTAGGAAAATTATTTTAAATAAGAAAATGTACACCCTCCAGCTTTAAGCAATAATGCAAGATTCTGAAACAAAAATGGGGGAGTCTTGATGTATTCTTCCCATAATTCCTGGCTTCATAACGCAAAGGATGAGGGGAACAACAAAATAACTTAAATCAAAACTGACAGTGCAGCAAATCAGCACAATGAAGACAGACCACCAGATTTTTTTAACAATCACAAAATCAGCTTCAGCAGCAGTGAGATATTTTGCATCGGCACAAAATATTCACCAACTGAACTCTGTACAAAACAGATCTATAAAAAACAACGCACTATCATCGCAATTCGTAACTATTTTTAACCAAATTGATGGTGAATTTGTATAAATTCATACAATCTCATTCATGCATTTTCATAGGATTTCATTGGGGTGGCCCTTTTTTCCCCTAAAAATCATACATTTCCATATGATTCACATTGTACTAATTCATAGAAAACTGCAGCCACATAAAATAGTTATGTTTTACAAACAACAAAATAATTAAGCTTTTTGTCCCACAAATCATAAATATCTCACATAAATTCATCTAATCACATAATTCTTACATCAAATAACCTTCACATACACATACTAGTCAAGCACTAAAAAAAGGTATAAAACTACATAAAAATATTTGTAGGTGTTTGTTGGTAACTGATCTTTTCAAAACAATGTTATAAAGCGGCAGTCCTTCACTCGTCAGGTTCATCAAATCGATTAACCTGTTAGGGTCTGTAGGCTATGATTTACAAGATTAAACAAGAAATTAATATGAAGACATCTCAGAAAGGCATTTGAGAACAAGCTGCTTCTTGAAAAGGAGAGAATATTTAGGATATAGCTTGCTTGTGGAAAACAGGTGAAGTATTACTTAAAAAAAAAAACAATCAAAAAAGGCTGTCTTTTAAATCACCAGTAAACATTTTTTAGCACAAACAAAAATTACATTCACATACATGTCATTCCCAGTATTGTGAGGCTGAAAACAACGTAAGTCATGTGGGGTATGAGTGCAATGCTCTTAAAGTGCATAAAGTATCATTTTTACATGATATGTCACAACTGTCCAGATGTTTTTTTTGCATTAGTATCCATCAGCATGGACCTCAGTAGCAGGGACTCCATAGGCTCTTACATGTTCTGTTCTCAGTTGCAGCAGCATGGACAGAAAGCAATCTGAACATTCACCCACCTCCCGTACGGGCCCGTCTCCCTCTGAAAGTAACCGGAAGACAACAGAGCTGTTTGTGACACCAGAAATACAGCCAGACAGAGACCCAGAACCGCCCTGCTCTATATGGAGCATAGGGCTGCTCGCAGTCTCATAAGCAGACAGTCCAACGTCAGCCAGGTTTCTCAGCATAACCACAGAATGAAGCAGGGCAGAAAGCCCTCCGGTCACAGCCACAAACTGCTTCTCCACAGGATCATCCGCACCATCTTCAGTTATATTTAGCACTAGAGGAAAACTAAAATAAGGCTCCCGAGTGATGTCTGAGGTAAAGTCATTGAGAATCACTCCGCTACTTGGTAAGTATTGCCCAGATCCCCATGTGCTGTTGAGCGAGGTGGAGATTACTATGAAATTGCCGTGACTATCGAGGACTCCTACATGACTGCTTGTGGTATTTAATGTGAATATCTCTCTCTGACTTGTGTTGAAGAATTCATTCGCCAAATTTAGGAGGGCATTATAAGAGGCAAAGGCATTACCGATATCTCCGTGGCTCGGAAAAGTGAGGTTTTGCTCTCGGACTCTATCTAATATATTGGATACCATTCCACCTGTGAGCTGGTAGGGGGGTGAAAGAATGCTGTATTTCTCCTCTGCCACGATAAGGGGATCATTGATTTCTCCGCTGCCGGCCTGAGCGGCAGCAAGGAAGGCTGGTCTCTCTGCTTCAGAAATGTCTTGAGCCAATTTTACGGCCAGATTTTCCGGGAAATGGGAGCTGTTTAGGCTGACGCTCAGCAAAAGGTCTGATAGATTCCCGTTGGCGACATGCTCGCCCTCTGATTTCACACGGCCAGCCGCATCGCAGAACAGATCACATAGTCCTGACTGGAGTATTTTGTCCTTGTGGGTTTCTAAAGCCCTGGAGAGGATTCCATCGATAAGGAAACCCTCTTTAGCGACTTTCGTGGCGCCCGCAAAAAGTCGACTCCATTCTAAATGCCCGTAGTTGGAATGCAGCAGTTGAAGGCCCTGCAATAATGAGGGAGCGCCATATGTAGGCAGCTGCTGAGAGGTGTCACGTATTGCTTTAAATGATCTTGTAGTGTGATTGTACAAAATTGCAGAAAACACTCCACCTTGAAAAAAAGGGAAGCACGAATGAATCATTCAGCTGCCTCAAAAAGTAGTTTATGCTTTTAGCAACCTTCTGAAAGGCAAATGCGGCGCTAATTAGTTGTAGATATTAACAACAAACATTATGCATTTGAGAGTCTAAACTGCTCAAATGATTTTTTATATCACTAATGGGCTTTTTCCATGCTTAATTTCTACCATAACCCTTCATAAACATTATTCTACAGCTAAAGATACTTTTAAACCGCTTGTTAAAACCATTTTAAATGCATAACACTTCAACAAAACTTGCTCATGGTATTTTTAGAGAATGACACTGAATATTGGAAATTAAACATTAAAACCACAGATTTCAGAAAATTACATCATGCTTCAGAAAGAGCTAAAAATGTTAATAACACTGGCAGTGTTGTAGTCGAGACCAAGTCATTCAAGTTCAAGTCAAGACCAAGACCAGAAGAGAATTATGTTTGAGTCAAGACCAAGACCATATTTTCATGGTCTTGTCATGGACTTGTGACTCAGACTTGACAATTTTTTGGTCTCGGTCTTGGCCAGAGGCGGACAGTAACTAAGTACATTTACTTGAGTATTGTACTTAAGTACACTTTTTGAGTATTTGTATTTTACTTGAGTATTATTTTTTCTGGGAACTTATGACTTTAACTTCACTACAATTGAAAGACAAATATTGTACTTTTCACTCCACTACATTTCTATCAAGGTCCTCGAAGTAGAAAGTCGTTACTATGTAGCAGTTTTGAAAGTCAGTGGGTCATTTTCTTCTTCTCTAAAACGTGACTTTCTTTTTTTCAGACAGTTTATCAGTAATCACTCTTGTAGGGCTACATGAAGTGATTTCCCAGCATTTTTTTAACACTGACCAGTTGCAAATGTGGTATTTATTTACAACAATTCAATAAATTTTTTTTTCTTCCTTATCACTCTGTATTTACAGGATTTCACTGTACTGTATTCAGTAGGTGTAATGTATTCTAAGTTGCTTCAGAGGTATTGCAAGTATTACGTACAACAATAAAACAGTGCATTGACATAAGAAAGGAAATTTACTTTTGGTACTTAAGTACTTTTAAAAGCAAGTACTTCTGTACTTTTACTTGAGTAAAAATCTGTCTTTACAACTTTTACTTGTAATGGAGTAACATTTGACCAGCAGTATCTGTACTTTCACTCAAGTAATGGAGTTGAGTACTTTGTCCGCCTCTGGTCTTGGCTCGAACTCCAACGGGCTGGTTTCGACTACAGCACTGAGAATTGTTCTTCTTGTTTTAACCAACCAAGACTGTGGCACTGAAACATTTTATTTGTAGAAGTCAAGTGATGAAAAGTGCCTGATACTGACCTAATCCAGCGGTGTGTGGATGAACAACTCCTAGGCAGAGTAAAGCAGCAATCCCTGCATCGACCACATTCCCTCTCTCCTGAAGAAGCTCTTTACCAATACTGGAGCAGTTTGCTATAAAAAAGAAAGCACACAGGAGACATTCAAATATGTTTGATACATATTTACGGATTTGGTTTGTATAATAATAATTAATGAAATTAGTCTTGCCTGAGTCTGTGATGATAGCAGCATTGTGGTACAGTGATTGACTGTGCTCATGAGTGTGACTATCATGATTATGATCATGATGATCAAGAGCATGATCATCATGATCATGTCCGTCTTTGTGGTTGTGGTCATGGTCATTGTGGTCACCATCATCTTGATGATGTTGGTGGAGGTGTTCGTGGTGGTCGTGATCTTCATCCTCAGAAATCTCGTGTGTCTTGTTAGCCTCTTGATGATTTGACAGGTCCTGATGCTCCTCAACTCCAGGCCAATAGCCATTCCACTCATAGATCATAAATCCGAAAACAATTCCCAGAAGAATCACAGCCACTGTGACCCTGACACAGGTGTCTCTTTTCCTTGTCCTTCTTTGCTGAACGATGAAGGGCCTGTATATTGTAAGAACAATAAGAATGTGGAGTCTGGAGGGGCAGAATTTACAAAGCACAAATATAAAGGAGATTTTGTTTTCTTTAATGCAGCTGGCTGGCAGTCGGCTTATCACTTTACTCTGGTAGCTGATAACAAGAATACAATGCACAGTTGGACACCAAATAGTTCACCCAAAAGTGAAAATTCTGTTCATGTTGTTCATATTGCATTCATGTGCCCGTGTTCAGACGCACACAAAAATAAGCAGCATTTGCTATCACTTCTTCAGTCTGAATGCAGATGCAAATTGCAAAAAAGCAAAAGATGGCAAAGAGGGGCATGATGACACATTATCCCCCCACCCCACACACACTCACATTCACATACTCACTCACTCCTGTACCACACACTTTTTAAAACAAAGTTACACCAGAGTTTAGCATCCAAATGCATCATGAATATGTGGCCAGTTGCATAAACTACTTAGACTAGTCTTAAAAGTTAGTCATCCATTTTTTTTCTTCAAGACTCGTAGACATCTTAAAGGCACAATATGTAAGATTTTTTTATTAAAATATCCAAAAACCACTAGAACAGTTTTAAATATTTTGTTGACTTGTGTACTTACATTATCCCAAATGTTTAGAAGAATGTTTAAATCCAGAGAAATAAGCAATTTTAACTAGTGACACGGAGCGTGTCTATAGTGTCATTGTGTCGCCTGCCAATGACGTCATACACCCTCGATTTCCGGTTTTGTTTGGTACAAAACATGGAAACACCAAAGAAGCTTTAATATGCTATGCATTTTATTAGACAGGTGATGACCGCACAGAGTAGCATTATAACAGAACGTTCAAATGTATCTAGTATGATAAAACAGCGCTGCTTACTTCCGCTGCTTTCCAGAAATAGCGGAAGCGGTCGACTGTGGCATAATAAAATCGCATTTGATTTTTTGCACAGCCCTACTACGACGTTAATAAATCTTTATTACATTAGCTCATCCATGAACATGATTTCTGCCCGAGTCCCATCCGATTGCTTCGGCTGTGGGGATGAAGACGACAACTCCCATGATTCCACACTCAGTCACGGCGTCATCTAACTACGCCTTTGTTTCTTTTGGATACGCGCGCTCTAGTCACAAAAAATTACATATTGTGCATTTAAAGACGTCTTAAATTTGGTTATATAAAATGGTATATTGGTCTAATTTGAATCTGAAAAGTAAGATTGATTACCACTTGGTTAACTGCTAGAAACTAGTCAAACTAGTTTTTAAGACACAGTCTTAACATTGTGACTTTATGCAATCGACTTGAAGCGGCGCTGCGCAGACCGAGCCTTGTATTACACCAAAATACCGCAAGAGCGATTCGAAAGCAGGAGCGTCTGATATCATTTTGATGTCATACACCGATCGGTCTGCGCAGCGCAATCAAAGCCAAAACCTGAATATTTTAAACAATAGCCTATAGAAATCCTGGCCAGGACGTGTGGAAAAGGGCACGTATGGTCACCCTAGATAAAAAGCATTTAAATAATTATTTATTAAATTAAAATTAAAGGAAATCGATCACAACTCTTCACTGGCAATAATATCTATAAACGGCATACTATTGAGAATATTTATATCGGAACACATCTACACTGCTAGCGACGCGACGCGGCAAAACTTGAAAGATCCCATTACAGTCAAGTGTGTGTGCACTGCAGGCGGTCTTGTCGCGTCGCGTCTTTAGCAGGGTAGATTGAGCACCTGTTGTCGCGCCAACATCACTGAAAGCAGCCACGACATAAGAGCAAATGCACTTAACATTAAAGCAGATTGTTTTGAAATGACAATTAACTTGCGCAGCAGACGTCAAGCAAATTTTACTTTCATTGTGTCACTTACGAGTGGAAATCTATCGTAATTTCATCGTCCTCATCGTCAGTGCAAACGTTGTCGTTTTCATCTTGCACATCGCTTGCAAGTACTTTATATTTAACAGTGCTCTGCATCATTTTCCCCGTGTGCATTTTGGCTGTGTCCTTAAAACTTTAAGTCTCCTACTTCCTGTTTGTCCTGTCAATCAGGCCAGGTAGAAACTGCACAAAAACGACTGAGGGGCGTGCACTTCAAATCCATTGTGTTTCAAGACACACATTTGTTTCTACATTTGTTTCACCAAAATGTGGTTGTGGCTAGATAAGCAAAAACCGGAAGCTAACAATGAATTGAATTTTCTACCTATTAGATTGTGTTTTATTAACGTCTACTTTTACCCCAACCCTAAACCTACCCCTTACAATAATGCAAAAATGGTAAATATTGTTGTACAGTATGAGAAAAATTACGCTATATTGATGTGCGCATGCCTAGTGGTTTTTGCTGTAGGCCTATGCCATCTAGCCTTAACCCCAAAATGTGTCTATTCAAACTATGTACAGTGCACAATTAAAATAAATAAATATATTTATTTTACACAATAAATAAAAGCAAATGACCTTCAGAAATAAACCCACAAGGAGAAATATTCACTGGAGTACAGCATGTGACAACTAACACCTGATTTCTATTCAAACAGTAGTACATTAAAAAAAGCTTTGAAGATGTTTTTTTTAAGGTTTATGAAAGTCAGATGTGTCCACAAAGGCTCAGGCTCAGGGTAAAGCAGTGGGGCTGGTCTGTGCCGATTCTCAATGTTCCAGTGACCTGGAAACGAGCTGAGAGCATAAGCCCCAATATTCCTTTCAAAGTAGCCTGTGACTCCAAATCTCCGTCTTCAAGGGAATCATGGTGCACGGCTTCCCACCTTATTTACTTTTTGACATTTACTGGAAGGTTTTCAAACATGCAGAGTCTAATTGAATATAAAATTCCCGCAGAGATGGTGAGAACCACTGTCATATCGAGATACAGCGAGAGATTGAGAATCTCAGCATTACTGAACAGCTTAAATGTCACTCATGTGGCTATGACTCTATTTGTTTATACCTTCTATTCTCTGGTTATCACTTGCCCCATTCACATGTAGCTCTACAGCAGTATTCAAATACACCTTTATACAGCCCTGAATGTCACACATTATAAGACTGAAAAAAAGAAGAAGAAGAAGTTTCCATGGAGTACAATCTCTTTGATCAATGTTATGTGTGTTTGAATAGACTCTGAAGCTAGGTGATTTGTAAGATATACTGTCTGGCACCGGTTCCTTTGTGAGGTTTGTCTTGTTTTATATTGCCTGGTGCTTTTTTTTTTTTTTTAAGAAACATTCCATTATTATCCCTGTGGAGGGGTTTTAGGAGATCTGTATCTTTATACATTAGGCACAATTAAAAGGCAAAGCTATTGTCAACAGACTCAATCAAACTTTCTCATTCGTATTTGTTCATTTGAAATAAATGTTCCAATATTGTGAACATGAAGTTTGTTTGCATATCATTAATATTCTGCAAAACATAAGAATTGCATGAAGCTGATAATGTCTTTTACAGGACACAGAAGTGTGCTGTATACACACACATATTCTAAATGTATAATATTGTATACTGTATGTATGTATGTATATTTTGTGATTGTCTTGCCATGGGTTTACATTTTACATAACCAATATTTTATCATATTCCTTTTGCTATGTAAGGCTGTATTGTAAATGAACTGAATATCAACAGAAAACCTAAAGATACGGTTGTTATATGAGTCCCAAGAATGAGGATCTAAATGCAGCATTTACTTAAAACCACAAGAATCCAGGAACAAGAAAGCATGAGGAAGAACTACTCACCAACAGCCAGAATAGGACATTACAAAAGATACAATGACTAAATGCACAAGACAACCTAAGAAAAACTGATGATGAAACAAAATGAATTGCTGGGGAGTAAATGAAAAAGGATTAGACTAGACAAGGACACTAAACTCTAAAATAACAGATATTTAAAGAAACAAAATCAAAGATGCCTGAAAACAAAGAAACAACACCCACCAAGCCTGTGACAGCAGCATGAATTCCAAACCTATGACAGAAACATTTGCAAATATACATCACCTGTCTATGATAAAGTAGCTTATAGTTGTATTTCATGAGTTAAATGAAGGCAGGAAGAAAAAGCATGAGGGGAATGAATGTGGATCTAATAATAAATAGGCTACTGTCAGAATTAGTAATTGCTTTTGGTCCTTGAAGTCAGGATTCTGTATCTCCTTTAAATTGGATAGACTTCAAGGCCTCCTCAGCAGTTTATCGTATCATAACCCATGGACAGCCCAGAACGGCCTGTTTAAAGGCCGCTGATTTGACCTGCTGTTCCTCCTAAAGCTTTGTGTGGATGCGTATGCTTAGTCAAGAGGAACAAGCTCCATGCTACTGGTCCAAATGGGGAATAAGGATTTGAAAATTATTGATGGGAAAGGTTATTTTATATATACTAAAAAATCTTTTATTGGGGTTGCTTATTTGAAAACCACTCAATTAGGTTTAAAAGGTTATTATGTTGTTCTGTGATAAGCTATGTTTTTATTTCATTTTTTTTTTTTATAACACTATTGATGTGGTGGCAGGCTGTCAAATAAAGGTGCAGTTTGGCATTTGACAGCACTTTTCAAACTACTAGAGTGATAGAGTTCTAGCTAAATTTGTGAGAAATTCTAGAGTCTCCATAAACAGAGAGCACATACTTACTGTATAGACAGACAGTCTAATAGTCTAATGCATAGCAGAACCAATAAAATGTTATTTCTATGGTTACAGAGGGACCAATGTAAACATAATTGGTTGTTATTGTGCTTATATAGACTTATGGTATTAGTCAGCTATTTCCCCTTATACCCACTAATATTTGATCAAATGCTGTTTTTATTCTCATATAAACTTAAATTTGACAATTGACAAATTGGGGAGATACACAAGGAGCTATATTGGCTATATTTGCGTTGATGTTTATTCTTTTTGAAAGAAGTCTCTTATTTGAAATATTTGAAACAGTAATGTTGTAAAATCTTAATGCAATCCAAAAAAGATTCTTTGATAAATAAAACAGTATTCATTTAAAATAGATTTTCTTGTAACATACTGTTTTGCATACCAAAAGAGGATATTTATGAAGAATGAAATGCCATTCTGGGATGGTGCACTCATGGCAAAACTGATATTCTAATCTATAAAAAAAATCTCATTATATATAAAGAAAATAAGAAGTAAAAATTAAAATGAAAAACAAAAATGATGGTGACCCTTAATTTAGTTCATGTTTGTTCCAACTTCAGCAGTGGCCCAAATATAGTGGGTCATACTGAGCAGGGATGGAGTATGGGTTATGTCCTAGATTTTTTTTTTTTCAATCAGGCACCTGTGTTTTCAGTTTAAGTGCACGTTTGTTAAGCGTTGATATAGTCCAATCGTCTTTTGCAGAGTAAATTTTATTCTGAAATCGCCTTTCTCATAGAGTCACTAAGTGTGTTCTTTAATACTAAAGAACACTGACCCATTCAGGTCACATCTTTATCATATTTTTCACAAGCTACAACATAACAATCCACACACTCCATTATACTCTGAATTATCAGTTCACAGATAATTTGACATTTTCATTAAAGCAAATCACATAAAACATTTTTTTAAAAACTTGGCATTTTGGGTTGTCCCATTTACTGTCTGGATTAGACATCTTACAGAAAGAACTCCTCCACCTCCTTCTTACCATGTATGGTCTTGCTATCTGCAGTTTCATTTTTGCTGAAGTTAAACTGCAGTTGGATCTCTTTTGTAAGTGCAGTTGAGAGATTGTGGTGCCCATTATGAACTTGTTCAGTCAGAGGCATGATGGTTTTGAATGATGACTGAAGCAATTATCTTTTTGGATATTTCCATATTTTATGAAGAACCCAATCTCAAATGTATTTCAACCCACCTGATCATTACACCTACATGTCACAAAGCTTAGTTTTTGTACAGTCCCAGCCCAGATCTAATTTTAAGATTTAAAATCAGATTCTGCAGACCTCTAAGTAGTAGTTAATCACCTTTCATTCTGCAACTATCAAGATTTCCTCAGAGAGTCGTTCAATTTCAGTTCAAGTTTTATTTGAGGAGAGTTCTTTGTCTCAAAGCAATTACTAAATCACACAGACTTGTCTATCAAACTTACTTAACAATGTGAATTTTTCAAGGATAAGCAAGCCTTAATAATCACTTATTGTTGTTTGGATGTTTATTGGTGTTTTTCCGTTGAAAGAGAAAGTTTTTGTACCATCTCAGGAAATAAGATGGCATCATGGGTTAGAGCCCAATAAGAAGCTGATTTTACTGGATGGGAAATATGCTGAAGGATATTGATAAAGTTACCTTGCCCCACAACCTAGCAAAAGAGCACCATAATTAACTTCATGACACACCATGTAGCTGTTGAGCATGCCTCATAGCTGTATGCAATGAAATCAATATTTCTATCCCGGTCTTCACTGCACTTATTTTCATACTTCATTGACCTTCCTATTGATTCTTAAACTATTTACCTCCACAAGCAACAAATGTGTCTCCACCATAAGAACAAACAGTGCCATCTAAACTAGATAAAATTTAAAAAAAGTCAACTAGAAAATGGGAATACAATATTGAGAGTTGGCACACACCTCTGAGACTGCCCACTGAAACAATTTGTAATGATTCTCCCAGCGAACAGACTACTAACAATTAATGCACAATCAGTGTGGATGATGCATTGAATATACAGTGTATAACTCTGGACGAGCAAGACTACTGTTGTTCCAAATTACTGTGAATTACCTATGGCTGATTCACAGCCGTTACAATTTTATTGGCAGTCACTTTCTTTGTATTTGCCAATGGAAATAGTTCCAAATAAAGCCAATACCGAATCAACAGCTGAGCATCTCAGAGTAACTCATAACAGTGGCATTTTGAATGAATCAGTGTATTTAAAATAATTGGTTTCTCTGCTTGTAAATCAGAATCAGAATCGATGAAGACCTCAACACCACATTGTGACTGGGTGCAGTGTGTCCGAAGATTCATCGG